GTCACGTCATCACTTAACGACCGGATAGAAGGCAAGTGGCCAAATTGACAAAACGCTGATGTCATACTTTAAGGTGTAAAAAGGTCATTTGTGACAGTGAAAACAGCTGGGTTAGCCGTTTTCACTCTTTATGCTAAGCTAAGCTAACCAGCTGCTGGCGGTAGCTTTGTATTTACCATACTAATCAGAGTGGTGTCAGGTGTTAGTGGGGTGTTCTCATCTAACTCTCATCAAGAACGCAAATAAGCGACCTGTCAAACTTTTTGTTTAAAGGAGAATTTGATCTGCAATAGCCCTGTGATCAAGCCTCCAGGCCATTTGATCACAAGCTCTCACACCAAGGTGCTGACCATCAGCTGACAATAAAGGCGGAGGCAAGCAAAAATGTTGACATAACGCCTGGTAGGCTTCTTCTCAGCTCAAAGGGCTTACCTTATTAATATCACAGGAGCCGTGGAGCAGGGAATGGAGAACCAGGACATGAATAATAGCGATTGAACTCAGCTGAAGTGATTTTACTTGGAGCGGTCAGCCTTTATTTTGTAAGTATTATTGTTGGAGGGCGAGGACTTCTACTGAAGGACTGAACTTGTCCACAGGGGCACGGCCGTTCCAGCAGAAGCACAACTGAACTTGTGAGCTTCGTGCTCTGTTGTTGTAACCTTTCCCGCTCTTTCTTTCTGATAATGTATCCCTCCCTTTTCCCATATTTATTCTTATAGAGGGTGCATTCATGGACAGTGGATGGACTGGGAATTCAAAGCAAGTCCACCTGATTCATGAGCCTCTGGGCTCTGTCAGCTCCCCTGGCACTTGCCGAGAGGAGTCAACAAACTCTGAGCTGTGGTGAAGGTCTCTCTATCTGGTAACTGCGTTTTTCACCCAGTCCGAATTTCTAAGAAATCATTACCATAATTCTGTAACAAAGAACATTAGTAGAAAAGCCAAGAGTCAAATACTCTTATGAAGACCAGATGTGATTCAGTGGGTATCCATGAACATTATTTACTAAATCTTTATGTTTCCACAACACCGCTTGTCAAATCTTCAAGTCATGCCAGCAAAGTTTATTCAACTACTGACTGCAGTTGGTCTTGTTTGTATGCGCTTGTAATTGCATCCAGATCTGATTCGGTCCGTGCGTATTTTAAATTTTGAGCTTGGTTAAGCTGCAGAGTGTTTTTATCAACGGCTTTGTCATCTGCTTGCATCACCTGTCAGTTGCCGGTGCTGTATTTCAATCACACCACCTACATCTTTGTGCGTAAACGAGACCTCATAATAAGACTGGGCTCTATGACATCAGTAGCAGCATTGTTTAATAGTCCTTCGGGGTACAGCATGTTATTTCCTCGTCCTGTATTAACACACTGCCTTTCATCACCGACACTCATCTTCTAATGAAAAACAAAAAAGAAAGTAAAAGGCAAACACTGTTGCAGTGCAGGGGAAGCTCCGGTTCCAAGGAAATGTGATGCTTCGTCCAGGATGCTTCACATCTATGTGTGTGTCTTGAGCTGTGCCAGAGGCCGGCGTGCTGCATTCAGCAGAGATGCGGGTGCAGAAGAGGGGGGATCGCATTTTGGGCAGGATTTTTTTTTTTGCCCAGAGAACAGACCATGGTTTCCTGGAACAATGCAGCTGATGAGTGCTTCTCCAAGGAAAATAAGGCTCTGACATCATGGGTTCTTAAAGCACACAGCTGAGCCAACACTCTCTCCTGCTATAATCAAGTCTCAGTGAATTTCCACTGTTGACTGAAATTGAGAGAAAGAGAATCTCCAATTCTGAAGCTTTACATGTTTTTTTTTTTTAATACATTCTTTAATCTAGCTGCTAATATTCTTGAGTTAGCACCGAGCTCCTGCACTTTGCACTGCATTTGACTTGCAGTAGCAATCAAATTACACACAGGGCTACTTGTAAATTTCTCATGGTAAACTCATCATTTTCCAAGACTGGATTTTTACCTCCAAAATGTAAAAACATTTAAGACAAAAAATACTGACAACAGCAAGGAGTAAAAGTTAGAACTCGGTGAAGTGAAATCCTGAGTGTCCTTTTGGAAAAAAATGGATGGTGGTAGACTGATGAGGCCTTACAACTTCTTTTTCTTTTCTTTTTTGTAAAACAACCAGTAGAATAAGTAGTAAAATTGGTGAGGGTAGTAAAACAGACCACAAGGTCATTCAAAAGACAATTGTGTGCTTAAGATGAGGAGTTGAAGAGTGTGGAGAGATTGTGTTTCAGAGCCCAGTCCAAAATCTGTGTCCTCAGATGCACTGGATCCCGAGTGCACGTAGATCAATGGGAAGAGATTGTTCTTTCCGCAACCATCCTGGTTCCTGAGGTTATTCAAACATGTTTGTGTGTTGCACTCTTTTGACTCACCATGTAATACAAAATTAGCCCATATAAGAGTATAAAATGAGCATTTTAAAGACATCCTAACCTTGATATTCACTCCGATAACTGGCTTTCTTTCTCTCCACTGCACACGATCTCTCCAATTTATTTGAACTCTAAATCTTGCAAGCTTGCAACCTGCAATTGTCCCATTAGGGTAAGATAATTGATTCAGTATTAGTCATGGAGAGGGATGAAATAACATCCAGGATGGTCAGGATGACCGGGACCTTGCCAGCGTTCCTGCTGTTTCACATTTTGATCTCCGCTGTCTGCTGAGTGTCAGCCACAGAGTCAGTTTATCAGGGTTTTATTGTTGCCCCATATAAATCAGTTCTTTAAAAAAAAAAAAAATTTAAGTGCTGACAGCGAGCAGAGCTCAGCGCTGTCACTGTTAGCATCCCCCAATAGAGCTGAGACATGCAGGGAGCGCCACGCCCCTTCTCTGTTTGCTTTGGCAGATCCTGCTGCCTCTTAGGAAGTATCACTTTGTCATTTAGCCCAACCAGATTCATATATATGGTGCACAAAGCCTCAGCTTGAGTTATGGCTTTATCCATGACCAAAATGTCTTAAAAGATTTAAGAGGGACGAACTTCTACTTTGTAATTATCTGCTGTTTATGTGTCTGACTCCACTGGGTTCCTAATAAAAGCCATATAGATGCTACCAGTGTGATGTTATGTGACAGGGAGAGTAATGTCTTTACAGGGTTATGTTTCCCGAGAGATTTTTATAAGTAAATACACATGCAGTATGAAAGAATGCTCCAGCCATTTCTGTGATGTTGACAAGTGGTTTATTCAGCAGGAATGGTGAACAGTTTGTCAGTTTTTGTTTTTTTTTGTCTACAGAAGGCAATCAAGCACCATGAATAACAGCGCTCCAATCAGACAGTTGTTTTGGACAGTGACCTTCAGGAAATTGTATCATCTCATATAACACCTCATATAATCATGAATGACTCACATGCTCCCATGATCCAGGCTTTATTGATCATTGCATACCACTGACAAACTGGAATGTTTCATTCATTGTTTGAAGATGGTTGCTGCAGCTTCTGTTTTTTAATGCACAAACTGTATTTCACGTACCAGAAACATAGTGTGACGGGTGTACTGTTGTTGTAGTGAAATTGAGACAGTGATACCATCATTTGATATTTAATGAACAGCTCATTGGTTTCATTCAGGATACAATAATGGTGAGTGAGGCTTCACTTTAATCAAAAAGTCTTTGGTTTATACCATTTATCTGAAGATCTGGGAGGACCAGAGCTGTTCTCCAGCCAGCTTCCTATTTCATTTCTGCTGCCAGGTCGACTAATAAGACAGTTTGCTTAGAATAAACACTAAAGAATATAGCAAATCCACATTATACAACCTTTTTAGAAACAAAAACACACTTTTAAATTAATCTGTGAAAATAAGTTTTAATTGAGAATTGATAACGATTTTTTTGGACAAGATAAATTAAACTCCTGGGTTACTCTTAAAGCCAGACAATGCAATCTTAGTTCAGTTTTCAACATGGGCTAATTAAATTTTTAACTGTAGCTTAAATATGAAGCCAGGTTCAGTAGCCCGTTAAGCTGGGCTTACACTGTGCGATTTTTGGCCCATTTTGAGCCGATTTTTGAGTCGTGCGACCGTTTTGGTGATCGGCCCGATTTTGGCCTTTATCGTGCGTCGTGGATTGTGTAGTATACGTGGGGTAACGAGAAGCGATTAACACCTCACGACCAGCTCCCGATCATCAATCGCTTGGTCGGGAGGATTTTGAAATGCACTGAAATAAAGCACCGAAATGTGCGCTGCTTTTCGGTCTGGTTACTACCGTTTATGACAGAACGATACCGGTACCCATCCCTACACATAAATGTTGGTGAAAAAGACGGAGTAGCACGGCAGTGCAGCGTATGAGCTGAACACAAGCGATGGAGGCACTTGTAGAACTTTGGAAAGCTCATCCGAGCCTTTTCGATGTGGCCTCACAAATTATCACGACCACAACAACCGTGAAAATAGTTGGATAGACATTGCTGCTCAATCACAGCTGACTGATCAATGTTTTTCATTAGCAATTTAGCAAAGTTGATGGTAGTGGTGCGTGTCTGTGTGAGTGAAAGACGGAGAGGGAGAGCGAGTGACAGATTTCCGTTATAACCTTAATTTTATGGACGCACAGTGTGAGCACTCAGGTCGCATCAGAGCATTGGGCCGTATAGTGTGAGACCCTGCATCGTGACCGATGAACTTCTAACCCCTGCGGGTCAATCGTGCAGTTTGAGCAGAAGCTGAATAACGCGACTGAAAAAAATCGCACAGTGTGAGCCCAGTTTTAGTTTAGCTTAGCAATGTTAGCTAGGAACAGGGAACAGCTGCCTTGGCTCTGCCCAGAGGGTTTTATTTATTTATTTTTTAAAGCTCCTCTAAAGCGCAGAATCTTGTTTATCTAATCTTTAAAAATTGAGGTGAAATAACACACAGGATTCACTTCCTGTGTTAATCTGAGCTTTAGGATTGCTAGTGGGCGGATTATATTGAGTACACGTAGTCAGCAAGCTAAGCTAACTGGCTAAATAAAAAATGTAGAGACAAAGCCCAATTAATAATTCAGCCATACATTTATTTTGTGGGAAGATCACTTCTTTTCTGTCATGACTGTTAGCACCAACAGACTAAATAATGGAGAAGTGTGTTACAGGCAATTAGCCAGGAGTGGGAACGGGAAGAATGCGAAAACTGCAATTATGGCTGTATTTTTCTAAGCTCTGCTGAACCACTGTGTTAAAGTTATAAAGTTAATATATCTGCAAATGGCTTTGCTAGTTTTCTAATAGCTAAAATAAACCCCAAAAAACAAAAAAGATAAAAATAATCCTCTGGGGTTTTTTAAAAAATCTGGAGTTTTGAGATAGCAGCAGGAATTTTATTAACATTTCAAGTACAACTTGTGGCGGTGATTGTTTTCCCATGCTAATGGAGTAGTTTTCAGAAGAGCTCACAATTTCTGTGAAGCAGCTCTTTAATTTTAGTTAAATAGAATAAAATATTGAACTTTATGCCATTATTTTCCATGTTGACAGGCACAGGTCCGACTCAAATATATTTTTTTTCCAATGACCCTAATCCTTCACTGTATGTCATACCCATTTTAGTCTTATCTGCTGAAGCCAGTGAAGCTGTATCTGGATAAATCTGCAGGTGTAAGTTATTATCAGAAAAAATATATTAAAATATACTAAGGCAGACATGTTGGCTTACAATTTTTAGATGATGTGGTTTGTTGGTAGTTGAACTGTGATTTTCAAAATGCTGCGAACTTTAAATGTTGTCAGTTACTTTGGAACCGACTCTGAGTAATAGTTAATTAAATCTATAAATAATAATTACATTGGCTAGCCAACACTCATAGGCATAGGCAACCAGATGCCAAAGCAGAAGAGGTTTAAACCTGCATTCTTTTCAAATGCTACCAGAGGGTGACTCCTGCAGATTCAAAATTACTTTTGGTCCTATATAGATTTGTGTGGTTTCAAAGTTCATCTTTTCTGGTTTCAAAGCATCAAGAATGGTAAAAAGAAAAGAAAAAAGAAAAAAAAAGGAATAAATAAATCAGCTCAACAGGATTTCTCAAACTAGTGGCTGACTTCACAGTGCCCATCTTATATACTGTCAATGTACTCAGGTTTGGGTGAGTCCTTAGTTGTGTGCCCAGTAAGACTGAGGACCATATAATCAATAAAAATTTTATTAGGTAAGAGCGTGTCAACTAAACTATCGACCAGTCAACTCTGAGTCCACAGCCCTACTTTCGTAGGGTTCGTCACCCCGTCTCTACAAGAGTAGCAACGACCTCTTTTTATTTATGTCATTAAATTAAAGATCCAGACTCTAAATATGTTACTGAAATGGGTACATTTGGGATTTTTGTTGGACGTATGCTGATTGTCTACTGTTTGACAAAGGTTGCATTGTCTCGTTTTAAGTAATTTCAATAGCTGGTACTTTGACTTCCAGTTAGGTGAATTATCACCAACACACACATCTGGACAGACAAAAGTACACGATGACTTTTTACAATGTTAATACAATTGGAAGAATCATTGTTCACAGTTCTTTTGTCAAGTTATTTGGCATAAGGGATCTATATTGAGAAAATAATTTAAAACAGTAGAAAAAATAGCATTTTGCCTTCTTGGGAACACAACATGGTATATTCATTTCCTTTTTTTTTTTTAAATTCTTCATGCATTCACAGATTTCACACAGATACATTTACTCGCTTAGACTACTACCTTATTGAAACAGCTTACAAATAAAAACACTATTAAAATGGTGGCCACAAGGCTGTGCAAAAGGGAAGACCTCCAATGTAAGCCCTGCCATCAGTCTCTTAGCCATCTCTTGCAAGTAACAAACTACAAAATAGCACCATTATACAGTGGATAGGATTCTTAATACAGTTTTGTTATATGAAACCATCATGTACAATGAATGATAGTAATGCATAGGTTAACATAATGGGAATACTGTTTGATTATACACAGGCAGAGGAGACAGAGCCAGAGATGAGTCGTCTTGGGCAATTATTATTTTTTTCTTATCGTTTTTTTTTTT